CGATCGGCCCGTTCAACTCTTATTGTTATTTTAGCGTTTTTGTAAAGCTAGAAGGACTTTCAGCGGAATCTGTTTATATACCGATTTATATATATATATATAAACCTTATAGGTACCATTGGTACATAAAACCTTTCAAAAATCCTATGTAGGTAAATTATGCTTTAGTCTAGATAGAGAACCATCTGGTAGTATTAAGAAGTAATTGACCCAAGGGTTATGTGTTAACATTACAAAAATATGCATTTATGTGTGTTTTTACGTTATTTATGTATTTTAATATAGATTCCCTCCAAAAAAAAAAAAAAACTCATACAAACAGAAATTTACAAAAACCCTAACAAAGCTTTGTATGGTAGTTGTATTCAAACGAAAAAATACAACCGAACCCCGAACAGCAAGAGCATAAAATTATTACACACTTGTATTCGTATAATTAGAAAGGACTTCACCAGGCAACAATTAAAACCAGATAATTACAAAAACAAAGCAACAAAAACGAGACATACATTTATTGTTGTATACAAGCAAAGTTGTTTTTCTCACACACAGAGAGACACAGTCATAAACAATTGAATCCTTTTGTGTAAAGGTCCTTGTTAAACGTATTTAAATTTCGGTGTTAACTCCCCTTCTCCTCGCAACCCCTCCCGCTATTCGTTTTTTATGAGGATAATATTAAACGTTGTTATACGTGTAGTAATGTGTGAGAGTATATGTATGTGTTTATTTTGTTTTCTAAGTGTTGAAAAATATATTATTTTTATCTGTACGAGTTGTTATTTAAATGTATGTGTGTGTAAGTGTTTATGTATGTATATTTATGTTTCTTAATAACATAAGGTCCTTTTCATTCGCCATGTTGTTGTTGTGAGGATAAATGTTGTCCCCTACCTCGTCCCTTCTCCACCTCTGGACCCAATGGAATATTTAAAATAATTATTATTACAAGTAAAACTGTTGTACTCTCCTCCATATCCTTCAGTTACCCCATTCTTTTTTACAAATACATTCACACATCCACACATTAAATGTTTTTGAAATAATTAAATATTTAAAATGTGAACATTTTTTTAAAACAATTTTTTTTATTTCATTGTGTTTATTTTTTGTTTTGTTTTTTTTTTCTATTTTCTGTGTACGTCTCCTTCCATTTAGGGACTGGTGCAGATGCTCTCACATCACAATATGCCCCAGCGCTTAATCCACTGACCAATGGTGCCTATGCTGCCGCCACCGCACCTCTTGCGGCAACAGCACTGCAGGCGGCCGCTGCTGGTGTTGCTGGCAAACAAATTGAAGGTAAGCACAACAAAAACAAGAAACAAAGTGTGGTTATGTTGTTATTTAAGGATTTTCAGTTTAAAGGAATGGGAAGAAGATTTTGGGTAAAAAAATTTAAACAAATTATTTAAACAAGAGATGATGGATCCTTAAAAAAAAATACTTTTAAAAAACTCACGCCTTGTGTGGATAAAATTTTTTAAACAATCCACGTCTTGGATGACCCCTAAAAAATATTTTTAAACCCGTTAGGATACCCTCCACCACTTTGGGTATATTTAACAGATAAATTCTAACAGACGTCGCATTTTTAAAGGACCAGTGAAATGAAATTGGATCCATAAACATTTCATTCTGCAACCGATACTAAATATTTCATTTGTTCAGATATAGAAGCTATATCTAAATCTGAACCGATTTCAGGAAACTTAACACAAATCATTCCAGACCTAATGCATTACGCTGTGTCAAATTTCGTGCAAACCGAAAGATATTAAAGGACTTTGTTGCACCATTTACATTAAATCGGACGAAAATATATATTGGAGCTATATCTAAATCTGAGCCGATTTTCTCCAAACTTAACACACATCATTCCAGGCCTAATTAAGTACGTTGTGCCAAATTTCATGCAAATCGAAATATATTTAGGGATTTTGGTGCACCATTTACCTTAAATCGGACGAAAATATATATGCGAGCTATATCGAAATCTGAACCGATTTTCTCGGAACTTATCACACATCATTCTAGGCCTAATTCATTACGCTGTGCAAAATTTCGTGCAAACCAAAATATATTAAATGACTTTGGTGCACCATTTACATTAAATCGGACGAAAATATATATGTTGGAGCTATATTTAAATCTGAACCGATTTTCTCGGAACTTATCACACATCATTCTAGACTTAATTTAGTACGCCATGTCAAATTTGGTGAAAATCGAAAAACATATATATGGACTTTGGTGCATTATTTACATAAAATCGGACGAAAATATATATGGTAGCTATAACTGAATATGAACCGATTTTCGTGAAATTTAATACACATCGTTCTAGACTTAATTCAGTGCGCTGTTCCAAATTTCGTGCAAATCGAAGGATATATAGGGACTTAGGTGCACTATTTTTCTCGAATCGGACGAAACTATATATGGGAGCTATATTGAAATCTGAACCGATTTTCGTGAAATTTAATACACATCGTTCTAGTCTATTTCAGTGCGCTATGCCAAATTTCGTGCAAATCGAAGGATATATAGGGACTTTGGTGAACGATTTCCCTAAAATCGGGCGAAACTATATATGGGAGCTATATCTAAATCTGGACCGACTTTCACGAATTTTAGCACATGTCATTCTAGTCTTAATTCAGTACGCTATGTAAAAATTCGAGAAAATCAAATGATTTTCAGGGACTTTGGTGCACCATTTACCTAAAATCGGGAGTTATATTTAAAAATGGGAGTCATATTTAAAACTGAACCGATTTTCAAGAAATTTTACACACATCATTCTAGACTCAATCCAGTACGGTATGCCAAATTTCGTGCAAATCGAAGGACATATAGGGGCGTTGGTATACCATTTACCTTAAATCGGACGAAAATATATATGTGACCTATATCTAAATCTAAACCGATTTTGCCCAAATTCAATAGGGTTCGGCAAAACAAATGCGATGTGCCAAATTTCATCCAATTGAAATCGTAGATGCGACCTGTACTTTGTTTAAAATTTAACATTGACAGACAGACGGACATGCATAAATCGACTTAGAAAGTTATTCTATGTACATTCTCCAATGGAACCATGCGTCTATCTCGTTTCCTTTTGCCTGTTACAAGCATATGCACAAGGACATAATACCCTGTACCACAGTGTGGTGAAGGGTGTAAAAATCCACCACAATGGATAGTTCCTGTAAAAATATTTTTAAAAAAATCCACGCCTATGATAGTCGCTGAAAAAAATAATATGTGAACAAATATTTTAAAGCCAGTGAGTGGAGCAGTATAGTCGGACGGGGACGTCCATACGATACCCTACACAACTACCACGGAACTCTAACTTTCTGTGGATGCTTATTCCGAGCCTGGACAATATTTTGTGATAGTTGCACCCTCTTGTCCGATTAGAGGTCTACATCACCTTTTCTTACACTGACATATTTTCCGAATTTTACTAATATTCAGTATAGTCCTTTTAATTACTTGGCCATATTCCCTTCAGCGTGGGTTGTGTTGTGATGTTCGGCTTATAATTGTGGCCTATAGATCGAATTAAAAAAAAAAAAACACAAACAAATATATTTTAGGCCCACTTCATCACAAAATAATTATCTGATCATCACCGAATATTATTGGCGTTGTCCTTGACCATAACTGGAACCTCATAGAACATTTCAAAGCGATCAGCGCTATAGTTCCGCTATCTAGAGTTATAATGGGTTACTAAATAATATACGAATACGGAGATACCTGTAAATATTTAGGTGTAACTCCCACATCCGAGCACATACAACAATATAATTGGTATTAATTTAAAGGTCAACCACTCCTCTTGGATATAATGTAAAGTTCTCGGGTCTATGTCCTTCAGGGGTAAATATATACGCTATAGAATACATTTGTCATTTTTCACACAAAAGTCAGGGTCCATTTGACCCACTAAATATTGACCGATCTTTATGAAAACAGGCATGCTTATTCTTTGACCTTATCCCCTTCTCCATGAAAAATTTCACGATGTTTGGGCCATAATTGCGGCCTCTGGAGCGACCAGAAAAACCGACAAAAATTTAGTATTTAGTCCATTTCATCCCCTAAATATTAATCGATCTTTCCCAAAAATAATAGGGGTCTTCATTGGCCAGAACCCTGCCTAACCCTGCCTACATGAAAAATTTCGTGAAGATTGGTCCATAACTGTGGCCTGTATCGTATTTACAAATTATAATGGACAGACGGACGGACGGACACACATGTCTAGATCGACTCAGTTAGAGATATGACGATCGGTATACTTAAAAGTTGGGTCTAGTACTTTTCGTACCGTTCTAGTACGAATTTCCAAAAACCCATCCTTATCTATCACATTTGGACCAAGAGTGACCCTCACTTAAAATCTCAAGATTGTAGCTTCAGCCGTTTCGTCTGGGCGTTTATGAAATATATTTTTAGCGTCATTATACAATAGGCCTCAGGAAGTAATAGCTAAGACAGACCTCGATACACTAGTCGATATATTTGGTCCAAATGAGGTGATAATTGGTGCTGACCTCAATGCCAAACACGCAAATTCGAGTTGGCATCAAGCAAACTAAAATAGCAGGATGTTATATGATTGGCTACTAACTACACCAAAAATAAATGGCCCAAGCCATGATAAAAAATGGATTAAATTTAACAGATGCGTTACAAACTCTTGGGCCTATACAAAGCTATAATACCCTGACATCATAGTTGGGTAGGGTATAAAAATCCACGTCTATGATATTCTGTGAAAGTCCCTGAAAAAATATGTTTAAAAAAATCTGCGCTTAGATTTTTATTCTTATCTCTTTCATATAATATTAATTTTTTGTAATTTTTTCTTCCAGGTCCCGACGGCAGTAATCTCTTTATTTACCATCTACCTCAGGAATTTAACGATACCGATCTCGCTTCAACATTTCTACCATTCGGCAATGTCCTGTCGGCCAAGGTCTTTATCGACAAACAAACAAATCTATCCAAATGTTTCGGTTTCGTTTCGTATGACAATCCCCATTCGGCTGGTGCAGCCATACAAGCGATGCATGGTTTCCAAATTGGCACCAAGCGTCTCAAGGTGCAATTAAAACGTTCCAAAGATGCGGCAAAGCCTTATTAGTAGACTTAACCAAAAACTTTCCGTTTACGTGAGAGTGTGTGTGCGTGCGATGTAGTTAATTTTTTTATATATGATTTAAGACAAAACATATATACAAAGAAATAAACAAAAAAAAACATTGTTTAAAAAAATTTCATTCTAAATGTAATAATGAGTGCCTTTAGTCTTAAATATTAGAAGAAGAAGAAACAAAAAATAAGAAAAACATTAAAATAATTTAGAATTAATATTAACAAATATAAAAAATAATTTAAAATTAAAAAAAATAACCAAAGGACCAAATAATTAAATATTTTAATTTTTATTAATTTTCGTTTTTTGTTTAATTTTTAAATAAATGTTAAAAAAATATAATATTTATAAATAAAGGATATATTGTTGAAAAATAAAAAAATATATTAATAAAAATATATATTTACAACCACAAGATATAAATATAAACAACAACAACTGCAAAGACAAAAATATAGTAAAACCAAAGAATATTGAGACAGTAATTAAAAAAATAATCTCCTTAAAAAAAATAAAATAAATAAAAATATATATTATACCACTTAAAAAATTTGCCCTACACCACTACATATAAGAGAAAAAAAATCTAGTAAAAAAAACAAAATATTTTTTTTAGAATATCAAAGGTGTAGGGTATCACATGGCCCCAACGACTTTAAAAACCTACTTTTTGGTGGTGTATAAAAATATATTTACACAAAAATCCCCACAGCATCTGTCCCCTCCTCTTCAAAATTCAAGGAGTACTTTTATTTTTGTGGTCACTAGTAAACAAAGTTATAAATATTTGTTGTTTGTTTTAGTTTTTTTTTAATTTTTATTATTATTTTTTCTCTTTTTTTAAGTCAATAATACACCTAATGTTATAGTTTACATTTATATACATATGTTCTATGTATACATAAATATAAATCTATATCTAAATATATCTAAATGTATTTCAAAGCCAAATAGTTAAGTAAATTTTGTCATACATTTTTAAATGTGTTAGACGCAAGTTATAAAACAAAAATATATATGGAAAAAATGAAATCTAAAAAAAAATTAAATGATCAATATCATTTATAATTGAAAAATAAACAAACAAACGTGAAAAAAATATATCTCTACCCCTTATGTCATCTATATATACATATATTTGTGTGCAATTATTTATATACATATATAGAAATGAAGGAATAAAAAAATAATATATAATAAAAAATAAAAACTATTATAGAATTTTGTTTGAAATTAGTTTTGTAAGTTAGTGAAAGAAAATAAACTAAATAAATATTTACATTCTAATATATAATATATATTGTTAAACGGCAAAAAGGATCTAAATGGAAGTTTTATTTGTTGGAAAATATTTGGAAAAAAAGGTAATATATAAATTTAATGTGTAAATATGTATAGAGGTCCAAAAACCACCAAAATATTATATAAAACCAGTAAGGAAAGTGGTACAGTCGGACGGGGCCGACTATATGATACCCTTCACCACTTTGGGTATATTCAACAGTTGAATCATAACAGACGTCGAATTTTGAAGGACCATTAACATGAAAATGGATCCATAAACATGTCATGTCATCATTCTAGACCTAATTCAGTACACTATAACAAATTTCGTGCAAATCGAAAGATATATAGGAACTTTGGTACACCATTTACATTAAATCGGACGAAAATATATATGAGAGCTATATCTAAATCTGTACTTGTATATCTAAATCGAAACTTGGCACACATCATTCTGGACCTAATTCAGTACTCCATGCAAAATTTCGTGCAAATCGAATGATATATAGGGACTTTGGTGCACCATTTACCTTAAATCGGAAGATACTATATATGGGAGCTATATCTAAATCTGAACCGATTTTCACGAAACTTTGCACACATCATTCTAGACTTAATTCAGTACGCTGTGCCAAATTATGTGCAAATCGAAAGATATATAGGGACTTTGGTACAACATTTACATAAAATCGGACTAAAATATATATGGGAGCTATATTTAAATCTGGACCGATTTTCATGAAACTTAACACACATCATTCTAGACCCAATTCATTACGCTTCGCCAAATTTCGTGCAAATCGAAAGGTATATAGGGACTTTGGTACGCCATTTACATTAAATCGGTCGAAAATATATATGGGAGCTATATCTAAATATGGACCGATTTTCACGAAAATTGACACATATCATTCTAGACCTAATTCAGTACACTATAACAAATTTCGTGCAAATCGAAAGATATATAGGAACTTCGGTACACCATTTACATTAAATCGGTCGAAAATATATATGGGAGCTATATCTAAATCTGAACCGATTTTCACGAAACTTAGCACACGTCATTCTAGACTTAATTCAATACGCTATGCCAAATTTCGTGCAAATCGAAAGATATATAGGGTCATTGCTACACCATATACCTTAAATCGGACGAAAATATATATGGGAGCTATATATAAATCTGGACCGATTTTCACGAAACTTAGCACACATAATTCTCGACCTAATTCAGTACGCTATGCCAAATTTTGTGCAAATCGAAAGATATATAGGTACTTTGGTGCCGCGTTTACCTTAAATCGGACGAAAATATAGATGGGAGCTATATCTAAATCTGGACCGATTTCCAGGAAACTTAACACACATTATTCTGGACATAATTTTTACGCTATGAAAAATTTCGTGCAAATCGAAAAATATTTAGGGATTTTGGTGCACCATTTACCTTAAATCGGACGAAAATATATATGGGAGCTGTATCTAAATCTGAACCGATTTTTATGAAACTTAACAAACATCATGCTAGACCTAATTCATTACGTTGCGCCAAATTTCGTGCAAATCGAAAGATATATAGGGACTTTGGTGCACAATTTACATTAAATCGAATCCAGTTTTTCTGGTAATCCCCATATAACGGTACGCCCAAATTGTTGTTATTATGGGGGTTCTGATCGTATTTTTCGACTGTACTTTAGTACGTCGAGTTCTTATTAGGTAGCAAATCTCTCCACTATAAATTATAAATATAGGTCAATTTTTTCGGGTAGCCCCCATGTAAGGGTACCACCCGATTTTCGGTATTTTGGGGTTCTTATGGGCATTTTTCAACCAAATTTTTTGTAACTTAGTTGTTTGTAGTCGTATATGGTAACAAACCTCCCTTCCAAAAATTATTAATATTCGCCCCCTTTTAGGGGTAGTCCACATATAACCTCCTTTTTATACAATTCACCTAACTATTGTACAGGGTATTGTGTCTTTGTGCATATGTTTGTAACAGGAAAAAAAAACGGAATAGACCCATGGATCCTTTTGAGAATATGCATAGAATCACTTTCTGAGACGATTTATGCATGTCCATCTGTCCGTCCATGTATTTTTGATAACAAAGTACATGTCCCATTTATGATCCGATTTGGATGAAATTTGGCAAATTGGAGAAAATCGGTTCAGAATTAGATATAGCTCCCACATATATTTTCGCCCGATTTTAACCTTTTGATGCACAAACTCCCAATAGTGATCCGATTGAGACAAAATTTTGCACAGATTATTGAATTAGGTCTAGATAGTTATATGCCAAGTTTTAGATATAGATCCGAATTTTAGTTTCGTCCGATTTAATGTAAATAGTGCACCAAACTCCCAATAGTGGCCCGACTAATGCACAATTTTGCACAGAGTACTGAATTAGGCCCTTACTAATGTTTGTGCATTTTTGTTGGAATCGGTTCAGATTTAGATATAGCTGCTATATATAGTGTCGCCCCATTTTATGTAAATGAAGCTCCATACTGGCAATATTTATCCGATTGAGACAAAATTTTGCACAGAGTACTGAATTAGTTCCCGACTGATGTATACGAAATTTCCATATGTACAGGATATTGTAGATATTAACATGTCTTGCATGTACCCATAGTGGTGAAGGGTATCATATAGTCGGCCCGTCCGACTTCTGAACTTTCCTTACTGGTTGTTAGTTACGCCTTTTTGCATTTTAGCTGACGATATGCACAAATCACTTTCACTTTCTAAGTCGATATATGTATGTCCGTCCGTCTGTCTGTCCATGTTAAATTTAGATTTAGATATGGCTCTCATTTATGTAAATGCTAAATTGAGTCTAGAATGATGTGTATTAAGTTTCGTGAAAAAATTAATACATAATAACTACAACATTATTGTTGTAGTGATAATAATAACAAAAAAAAAAAAAAAAAAAAAATGAAGCTAATATAAAAATATAATCAATCAACATGTTTTTTTGCTTTAATTTTCACACAAACTAAATTTAATACAATGTTATAGAGTAAAAAAATTAACACAATTGCAATTATTATATCATTGGAATTGCCTTGTTTTTTTGTAAGCCATAACACCAATTTACCATATAATATTTCATTTTATTTTATTAAGACATCATATCAATCTATTTAAATGGGCAGTTTTTGTTTCAATTACAATATTTCTAATTAGAAAATTTTGTATAGAATTGTTTCTAGTTCTTACAAAAACCAACACAAAATAAATAAAAAGAAGAGTATATATTAGATATATTCAAAAAAATACAAGCTTATAAATATATAAGCTTTTTTGACGAAACAATGATGAAACAGTACAATGTAATATGATTCAAGACAATATAAATTTTAAAACATAACAAAGACCAAATTTTATATATAGCATATTTAACAAATAATTTTTTCTCTTATAAAATAAGTTATATATATATATATATATATATATATGTGTGTTAATATGAAAAAAAAAACTTTAGAATTCCCTCGACCCATTTGTGCAAAATTGATGAAAATCGGTTAAATAGTCGCTGAGTTATTTGCATTTTAATTCAACGATGCTGCGAAATACACCTTACTGTTCGGTGCTGGGCGCCTAATACCTGTAAATAAAAATCCACACAAAAATGGATTCTTTGAAACGGCAAGTTTTCATCTTTCATAATGACTGCTGACTGG